ATGAATTTACACAGACACAGACACAGACACAGACACAGACACAGACACAGACACAGACACAGACACAGACATATATATATATATGTATATTGGTAATAGCACATACCCCCGTGTTCAGGTGCCGGCGAACTACGCGGGGAGAGTGTAGTCATCTGATAGGGCGCTGCAACAATCCCAGGCACACCGCCCAATTGGAACGGTTCAGTGATTTCGATATTGGCATCGTATTGACCTACGCACATTAGAAAATTGATGTTAGCTTAATAGCCTACGGCTGCTAATAGCTGAACAGGATGGTTTTACAAAAGATTTCGTTTGTTTGCTTGACGGCCAGGATTCTGGTTTTAAACAAACGTTTTATCCTGACAGATATCTCTATACCAAAAACAATATTAAAATGTTATTATGTTGTATACACAATTATATGTTTGTGAGCCCATATATGTATCTGTTTAAAATCAGAAGCGGTAGGAAACTATAGAATATAGTGAGTGAGCGCTACCTGTGATTATCAAGCCCCATCGCTTTTTCACTCCCATGGCTGTCACCGATTATTTTTCAGCTAGCACTGTGTCGATGCGCTTGCAATAGAGAAGTGTATATGTTCGAAATCAACCAACTGAACCTTGGCAAATACAATAGAAGTTCGGGCAAACCCCACTGAACATTGTCGTCTATTCAGCATACCGGTTAGTGAAGCGCTGCGCAAGTACTCCTGCACGCCAACATCATGTATAATCTTGTCCTGCGGGGCTGATGTGATACTATTCCGTTCTAATCTGCCAACCTGTATGTGTGAGGAATGAAAAATATTGCAGAACTCAGTATAAGACGAGAGGAATGTTACTAATTGGTGAACCTGGATGTGTACAGAGGAACGAGGATAGCAAAATACAGAATACGGTGAGAACAGTGACATAGACAATTTAATTTGATTTCACTTCAGCATCGATCTCAACGGTCCGAAGAATTAATAACGATGCCCAAACAAATCTGTAATACAGTTGATAAGTTCACTATCCCGTCAGCCAATTTCAACTAACTATTGTCCGGAACACTCTTCACTTACTGCCACTCCATCTAGATCACGGTACAAGAGCAGTAACCACACTACTTGACACGGGTGCACTACTATGCCAAACAATGAGAACCAAAACCACTTACAGCCGCTTAATCTGACCAAAGTACAAAACGACTATGCATACGATGCGACAAGCAAATACTGCTATGCATATCATATAAAGAATTCCGCATATAGCCACGGCATCCGGCTGTATGATACACGAGCACCAACCATACTACTTCACCAATAATACCTATGCAAATCCAATAAATACAAGGTCACTTACAGCCACGCCATCCAGATCATGGTACAGATGCGGAGGGTGATGGTGGAACGACGATTGCCTCTGCACCTCGTGGCCTTCTGCGTCGACCTCCGCACGCGCAAAGACTGGTTTGTCAGTGGGGGGTGGTGCAATCGGTTTCTGTACAGGCGCCTGATCAGATGTGTAATGTAGAGGGACGTTATATTTATGTAGTACATATATGTGTACATGTAGATCTGTACCAGGCATACATTAACGATTAAAATTTACATTGATACAGAAGGCACTACTAAAAACGAATTCATATGAGGGGCGTTAATCATGGACGTGGGCTAGTACATCATTCGTTATAGTATAGCAAAACACGCGTATAGTAACAAACGTGCTTGTACCAAGGATGCAGCGATTGTCATATATGTATGCGTGCGTATGCGTGCACGTGTGAGTGAGTTTACTTGTGTATGAATGCAGTAGAAATGAAACGAGCCCCACCAAGTGATATGCGCTGCGAGTCGTCGGTTGCAGATAGGTATGTGAAAGAAAACGCATACCTTCTGCTGTTCCTGTTGACTGCCCATCTGTGATTGTAGTGCGTCTTCAGGATTTGCAGGCACGGGTATTCTGAGGGATGACATACTTATATTAGTCCTGGTAGTGCAACTGACCTATCAGCTACAACACCTTCGCTGGTTATCTATGACCGGAAAACCTGATCGCGTAAATGACTTCCTCAGATTATACTCAACACCCACTGCCCAAAATTGAATTGTCTTGTAAACTCAGGAATTGCTTCTGGAGTTTCATTCCACTTACTCTCTACAATGCAATATATATATATATATATATATATATACACATAATACAACATACTACACACACACACAC